GCCTGGAGATTACACGAGTAGTATCAAGATGCCATTGCTCCAAGTGAGGCTTACTGCTCCTTCTTATTTATTGTAGTTATTGAATGGAGTCATTGCTTGATAGGCCCCTGGGAGCATTAGCAAACATGAAAGAAACCACCAAAGGAAGGAAAGAAATATATAAATAACTGAAGACCATGCTACTGAAGTTTACAATGTGGAAACTGCAGGGCTGAAGTAAGGCCCACAGTCTTAAGTTCTTCCCTGCACCCTGCACTCAACTTTCAAGTAACATAAGCATTGCTTAATTTGCCAATGGCTTACACTTCTACAGTCTCTACAGGTTTGTTTGCCAAATATCAATCATTTCCCTTCTTGCTCAGTATCCTCCATGTGACCATGTACAGTTCCTAAATTTGTCTGTCTCTATTTTTATCAGCCATGTTTTAGGACTGTGACCATCATATAGTTCAGATTCCTATTAATAATTTTAAAAGTGAGGTACCTCTATAGCTCTACCATCTGGAGTTTTTGGAATCCAACCGGTCATGTAAATGAGATCATCCCCTCACTCAGAAATGGGTAAGAATAAGGACCGTAATATCTGCTCCTATCCCTTTACTTTCTCAATCCACTTTCACCCATTCACTCTTTACTTGTGCTGCCTTTAAAAATTTCTAAGTATAAGGAAAAACATAACAACACAATTTGAAATAACTCTTATCAAAATTCCTTGAGAATTTATTCCTTTTTTGTTTAGTATTCTTTTTTTTTTAAGGAATTGTGTCAATATTTTATTTTACTTAGGTTCCATGGAAATTTTTTTTGCCATAAAATTTGACTGGAAAAGAAGTGATCCTGTCTCAATGTCAAAAATATGGTCAACTCTTAAGGGATGCATTTTATAGCTACTTCTTTCACCATCACACTTGTGAATTTTCGTTTCTCTTTAAGACCAAAATTAAGTCTAGATCTGTAGCTAGTAGAAAGCTTTCTGTCTGTTTTAGGCATTCTCTATAATTTTTATAAGTGAGATAGAAGACGACAAAGGAATAGAGTAGAGTATAAAATACAAAATAAATTTATGTGATTGTAAAAATAAGAAAGTAAGATGGAAATACAAATCCACCAGTGGGTTTCTTGTATGCGTTTACTATGAAGCACTTGACTGCTACAGTCTTTGGGGAGGTGGATTTGGAGACAAAGCAGGAAGACTTTAAAAACTCACCTCCTATGAAAAATGAATACAACTTGGCTGGTGGTGGCAACCTTCATTGTTTCTGAGTAGAAAAATCCTTCCTTCTCTTGGGTTCATTCCTTAGGTCCCAGTTAACAAGCAGTACACACCTGAGCATGCAGAAGCTCTGCTGAGGACACAGACACACAACAGCCCTTTGCAAGGGGACTAATCATCTCATAGAATCTGCGTCCCACACACACACTTTACACACATCCATTATGTGTGAGAACCAGCTTGTCTGTAATGCATTTTGTGAAATGTAATGGGATTAATCCAACATTTATATTTTCAACCTCAAAGTATATTTTGAGAATTAGAAATTTTCCAACTGACAGCAGAGGAAGAAAAGAACATGGTTCGTATTTACTTTGGGTAGAAACAGAGAGGCGGCAGGCAAAATAAATTTCTTAAAGCTTTTTTTTTTTTTTAAGGCCAAATTTAGTTTTCTGTAATTTTTGGCTTTCTCTCCCCTGGCCAAGCTTTGTCTTTTTTATTTCTTTTCTTTCTAGATCTTCAGTAAAATAACTGAAACTACAATTATGCTGGAAAAAATTCAAGGATTTTTTTAAGTCCCCAAAGTGAAAAAATGACTACCTAATGGAGTCAAGGATACATGGACCGGATTTTTACAGAACATGCTGTTGTACAGCTGTAAGGAGGCAATTTGTTATTCTTGTGGATTAGTGACCACCCCATTTTCTCCACAACTCAAGAAATAGAAAGAGCCTGGAAGAGGACATATTTTAAGTGGGACATTTACTCTCGAAAAAAAGGGGCATAATTCTGATTTAAAGACACTGGAAAAGTTCTTTGTACAGAGGCAGTTGAAATTCACAGCAAAAACTTGGTCTCACTATCCTCAGCTCTCATTGTCATTTCTAACCAAGCCATCATTAGCTTCAAGATAGACTTAAAAAAAAAAAAAACCTGATAGGATTCCCTGAACCTGAGAGTTTTATCTATTTTAAAGCAACCCAGCTGAAGCCAGCACAATGTTAAGTTAGTGGCCATACCAAGAGGGAGGGGGGCAGAACAGTGAGTGGTAAAGGTCTGGCAGCCTCTGCCTTGCCAGGGATGGCTGGATGCACACTTCATCCTCTAGAAGGGGAAGTTGGTTTCTGACATCTGCCTTTGCTCGCTATCTATACACAGCAAAACCACAATCAGAATTTTTAAGGGGAGCTTTCCTATAAACAGTGTGAAAAATCAGTGCACCCCCAAATTTCACCATACAAAAGAAATAAGAACAAAGAGTCTCACAGAAAAGATTCATTTTGTGACCACGCATCCTTAAAATCTAAAATTGAATGGAGGGCTTCTTTCTGAAAGTGTACATTCTTGTGTTTTCCTCTTCAGGAGAGCCATACCTAAAAGGTTATTGATTTGGTTCTGAAGGACACAGTGTTTATTATGGAGGAAGCCATTGCTGGGTACAAGTGTGAGAAATTAATGATGGCTTTGTAAGTGTCCATGCTGTGGTGTGGAACCAGTGGGGCAACTGTCAATCTATATGATAATACATTCCCAAACTTCATAAAATCACTGATGTGAAAAAGCATTGATTTCTTTGTGAGCTAAACAGAATTCGTCAGAGAGACAGAGCCAGAGTTACTGAAGTTAACACCCCAGCCTGCAGAAAAGCTTGTGCCTTATATTTTATTTGCCTAAAGACCTTATGATGTAGCATGTAAAATTTCTTGTTTTTATTTCTAGCCCCTCAAAATGAAAATAGAACATGCACAATGTACATTATTTACATATGTGAAATACTGAATTAATTCTTAAACAGAGGGAAAAAGACGTTCTACCTGTGTATTTTAAAATAACTATCTTTCACCTAGCTTGACCTCTGGACTTGGCCGGGCGCTTGCAGATATATAACTGCACAGCAAATCTATGGTTTTTTTTCTTTATGCTATTCTGACTGCATTATAACTAGTGTTACAGGAAAAAAATCAAGATACTGCCTATAATGACTTCTTTCCTATCAGTAAGCGGGATTTACAGAGATTTCCATAGTGAAAAACTCTTCAAATAATATTGGAACAAAGGGACTATTATTAGTCCCTCAAATAAATGATTAATTATAAAATTTCTCCATCAATAGCAGTACTAGGTATACTCAAGGCAAGCATTGTTTTCTCATATTGCCTCAGTGGAAAGCTCTTCTTGCTGGTTGAGTTCTTAAGAGGTAAGTATAAATAAGTAAAGAGGGTGAAGATTCTATAAGTGTGCATAAGAAACCCTATATAGATGGTTCCCCTTATGGATGTGAGAATGCCAGCTATGGGAGACTTGCTAAAATGCCTTATTTAAAGTGTACTATCAATTCTTGGATTACAAGTGTTTTATTTATTAGGCAATCAGAACTGCTCTGTTTAAATAGTATCTGACATATACTGAAGTTGAAAAAGGACATGGGTAAATGAATTCAATGTGTGCCTTCATGGAAACTTTGAAAAGTAATTTCCTAGCAAATAAGCACCTTAGAGTGTTGAACGCGCCAAGTATTAGAATTTTGTTAAAATTCAAAAGGAGTCAAGTGTAGGTTTTTCCTTGAGAGTACACCTTGATTAGGTCTGCGAGCAGAGGCATAAGTAAGACACAGCCCCTTGTCTCCACTGAAGAACAAATTATTCCAAAATTAAAGATAAATTTAAATGCACCAAAGTGACATCTTATGGAATCTGTGCGACTTACCCAGGAAAGGATGCATTTTCGACACAGTTGCGAGATTAAATGGTACTTAGCGAAGTTTTGCATTCACAGCAGGCTGTCCTCCTGTACTTTTCTTTTTCTTTTTTCAGTAAAAGAAGATCCTTCAAGCTGCTCTAGCAGAAGTTTATAATATTTTATATAAACATTCTTAACCGATCTATTTGTAAACATCTTAATGACGATTCTTTCAGCAAGCAGGAGTCTATTCATAACAAGCTATAGAGTGTTTGAGGTTTTCTCCATAAATCAGCTGTACCTAAGGCAATTCATTTTTTTTCAAATGTATTTAACCAAACACGGTTCTGAGTCGCTAGGAAATCCACAAATAACACCTTATCTCTTTAATGACTTGCTCAGGCTTCCCTACATGTGCTGCTCAGTGATCAGAAGTATTTAATTTTCAAAGTTTCATTAAAACTCAGCTACAATGCTGACGGATAGGCCTTAGTGATTTGTGAAGGAAGGTGTGGGAAACCGTGAACCTACATAGGTGTACCCAGAAAAAAGTGAACATGAACAGGAAGACTTTTTTTGGAGACAAGTCTTTTCCTATGTGTCATTATTAAACTCCACGTGTCCCAAGTTTGATCTTTGGTGCGGATATGAGCTGTTGCTGCCTGGAAATGAAAGTCTAAGATAAGGTAGGCTTCTTAAGAGATGGCCACAAAAAAAAAAAAAAGAAATGCAGGTTGCTATTTCCTGGGAAAGGGGAAATCAATAGAAAGACCTGGAAACTTGTGGAGAGAGGACATTCTCTCTCATAGGTCATAGTTTATCAGGCTGCCTCTTTTGCTGTGTAATTTACTTGCTAATAAGACCAACTGACTATACCCGAATACTGTGTTATCCTCAGAATGTGACTTGAAAATTCTCTTCTCATTTCTTGTGTGCTTGAGGGTGGCTAGTTTATTTTCCCCCAGCTCTGACTGGGTAGACAAGGTTGATTTAAAAGAAAATGAATGATTTTTATTATGTCTCTTTATTAAAAAAAAAAAATCAAACAAAATCCCAAGCCCCACATTGCTCAGTGCACAGAACATTCAAAGGTATTTAAATACCTTACCGTTCTCGTCATCTGACTTATTTTCGTTGTCAGAATCAGTCAGGGTAAGGGCTGAGTTTTCACGACTGGACAGGCCGGAGCTGCGCCTGGATTTTATCCCTCTCCCCCACAGTCTGATGGCATGTTCAGGGGACATCCCGCCCTCGGTGTCAGAGTCCGCGTCAGAGCCTGTGCTCAGGGAATAGCCCTGGTGCAGGATGCCCATGTCGGAACAGTAGCCACTTCGATGCGGGGAGGGCTCACAGATGCCCAGTTCCGCAAGGGTGAAGTTAGTCCCTAGAGCGACAGCAACAAAACAGGGATTAAACGGTGTGAAACGCTTTACAAAGTCAAAATGCATTCTTACAGAAAGCAGACAGACATCTTTTCATCCAACAAATATATCTCACTTGCCATGGTACTCGGAAACAGGCCTTGGGTAAGCGTATACAGCACATTGGGGTGTGTTGGAAACAAACCAACAGAAGTAAACATCAGTCTCAGGCCAGAACACTCAGATTTCACTCCTGGGGTCATCAGGCATCTGACACAGATGTCCAGGGAGTACCGGGTAGCTGAAGAAACCCTGTACTTGTCATAGCTACTACACACCATACACTTACACCTGACTTTTTTATTTTGCAAGTTTTATTTTTCATGAAAAATGTGCATCTTTTGAACATGATATTCTTGGAGTCTTTTTATAGATAAGGAAACTGAGAACCAGAGAATTTAAGTGACTCATCCATGGTCACTCACTTACATGGTAGCAAAACCTAATTCTGATCCCTATGTGATCTGTGTTCGTGTCCTACAATAAATATGAGCAGTGACTAGAAGACCTGGGAGCCAGTCTTAGTATCACCATTGGTGACAATTTCCTCTCCTTTGTGGCAAGTTTCTTAACTCTGTGAGCTCCAGTTTTCTCTTCTATAAATTTTGGGCATTAATCCATCAAGATCATTGTGGCTTTGTGTGGTAACACCAACCTGCTCTTTCTAATGAGTAATGTCATGTGTGTGCAAAGTAGCATCGAAATGCTGAAGAGCTAGTCATTTTGTTTGCAAATGATATCAGAGATTTCACTCTGCTAGGGCAATTTCAAACCACCAATAAGCTTCACCTATGGAAAATGAAGGGGCATGGAGGGATGGCCCCATGGGCTCATGGGAAGCAAAGAGACTAGGCATTTATTGAACACTCATGGTATCACATACAGGCACTGGGCTGGGGATGTAATAGGCTTCATTTATTTCTCACAACAGCCCAGCAGATGCACTGTTGTTACCACCACTGTACAAAGAGGCGTGAAATACCCTGTTCAAAGTCACGCCTGGGCTGGTGACAGATCCAGTACTCATGTCTGGAGCTGCACACCCTAGGCCTGCATTCTTCTTACAATATCAAGCCAAATGCTAGCCTGGCAACATTTCTTTTGGATATTAAATGCTCTATTTCATGTCTTTTTAGTCAGTTTCATAAAAAGATATTTTAAGGTTTCGATGCAAATTGGAATCACACAGAGTGTTCTCCATTTATTGATATATAACCCTGATTTCTTTGGTCTTTCATCAGTTTATGACAATAGAAAGGAAGTGAAATGAATAAATGTACATTCATGTAATGAGTGGAGAAAAATCTTATAAATAACACCAAAGCCAGGAGTTGACCCTGTCTGTGTGCATTTTATTACATTAGGGTCATTCCCAGTCATTCATGTCTTCAAACTTGGCACTCTGTGATACTCCACAAACGTGCCATCACTTTCCACCTTTCTATGGTGCATCAGCAACTACTTATATTAACTCAATATGGCTTTAATTTGTAATAGATTCATGAACTTGTATTCAGAGTTTTCACTTTTCTTTCTTCATTGCACACTGATCTTTCCACAGTCTTATGTGACTGTGCTCCTAAAACGAAACCCAATTCTGTACGTAATTGTCTCTGCAGAGTGAGACTTAGTCATTGGACAGACAACCTGAGCACAGACTCCTGTGGGCTTCTTCTACCTGTGCAGAAAAAGGGGAGGGTTTATCTGCCATTCACATAGTACTGATGGCAGCTGTCTATTTTCTGGGCACAGTGTATCAGGCTAATATGAAATTCTCTGCACCAGTGTGCATCCTTGATATTTAAGCATTTTCTTATAATGGTACATTTTCAATTACTGAAATGCATGTCTCAGTTTCACAGTCTATAAAAAAGAAGGTACTGAGTTCATACATACATGCTAGTAACAGACCTTTCTCTGTGTGGTTGCTCTCCTTATTCTGAAGTAACTGGAGAAAGTTGTTTATACTAATGTTCTCCTATCTCATCTTTGGACACATGAAATATATTGCTTCATCTTTCCTCAATAAATGAAAACAGCCCAAGGTAAAACATGCTTATTTTATTCTATGTGTGCTAATTTTTAAGCATATAATTTCATTTAAAATGGAGTGGGTGTATAAGAAGGCAACTTTCCTTGTATTTTTCCTTCATCTCATTATTGAGTCCAAAGTTTCAAGACCATCTGGGAAAACAGAAAGAGTCATTTGAGGAAAGCATGACTGTTTTCAGGGCATCCAATGTGCTTTGTGATCTGCTTAGTGGTCATGGCCACAAAAGGCCACGGTCATGAGAAGTCATGATTTGGTGTTTCTTCTTTGTTTCCCAAATTTATTCTGATAAGAAATTCTAACTATACTTTTTATGTTACAACAAACTTGAGATAATCATTGATTAAGTAAAAATTATATAAATTTAAAATTATCACAGATAAAAGTGAACTTTAAGGGTCTCAACGACAAGCTTGTAGCTTCCACACCACAAGTGAGCAGCACGGTAAAGAAAATTGCAAGTACTGCATACAAATTCCCAAGGAAAACAGCAAAGGAGTGTGTTCATATTGGCTTACAGAATGGAAGACGTTTTTACTCTTAAAGCAAAAATGTTTCCCCAAAAATTACCTTCTAAACCCATCTTCATCTTCAAATGAGACCACCTCTCCCTCATGACACATTTTCCCCACACTTTTAGCTTCATATATTTATGCTTTTCTAATATAAGAATAAGGAACAAATTCTGAAGCAATTGCTCAGGTTTGTTGGCCTACCATATGAATCTGGTGAGCCACACACATAGTAGAAAGGAAAAAACTGGTCTTTCATGTATTAAATCATCCAACAAATATTTATTATTCTTCGTGCTGTGCTAGACGTTAGGGACTGTATTATAAAAATACAGTCTATGACATTTACAGTCTAATCAGGAAAGAGACATTAATCAAAGAATCACATAAACAAAGTACAATCTATATAGTAATAAATATTACATAGGAAAAGGACAGGGAGCCATGAAAGGTCACCTGCAGTCCAAACCTTCATACCCTTACAACTTGCCCCCTAAATGTTCATCTGGTATGGGGTGAATGCTTGGAAAAACTGGAATTTTGCACCATTGAAAAATGGAAGGAGGCTATTATGCCTCCTCCTCTTTCCTGTGACTATACCCAGGTATTTCATTCTTCTGTATGAATTGACTTCAAACAATTGCTTTTTTTTCAGGTAGATCATCTTAAAACATGAAACCCCATGTTATACACTTCTGCTCAGAATATAAAAAAAAAAACTGGGGGGGAATTTTTATACTATGTCAACTTATTGCTTTGCACTTACTTTGCTCATTGATGGATGACTGATTTTGCTCTAATTCATCTTGTATAATTATGTCTTTATTAAGCTCCATGGCAGCTTTGAATGGAAGAGAGAGACCAGTCATTGTGTGATTCTCCAAGCTAAAATTTCTAGTGGAAAGCAGTCAATAATTTATTCCTTCTTTATTATCTTGTAGAAAGAAGAGGCACAATATCTCAGTATCCATAAAACACATGTTTACCCTTGATCTTTCTCCAGCTTTCCTGATACTATTGATTAAAGTGGATTACAAGATGTGCCAGATTCATTTATTTCACACATATAGTTTATGCCTGTTGACAGTAAGTTGCCCAGTGTAACCCCATATTGTAATACAAGGCTAGAGTCAATATTTCTGCAGATCTCATAAAATCTATGATATTTCTATCAAGCAATTTTAGTAAAAGTTGAAGGTATTGGGAAAAAATGTTAAGGTCTAAAAGCTGTTAGGTGACCAGGATAGGGGAACACGAGTCTTTCAAAATTACTCTCTGGATAAGACTCAGATTTTAACTTGTCCTTTCTTTGTGCAATCTCAGTGTATATCCAGATTCTTTTCACAACTTTTTAGAAACAAATTTTGCAGTAGAAATGAAGAGTTGTCCTTTGACCTGCTAATTCTAATTGGGCACACAAAGTCCAAGGAAATATATGTTTGTGCATAGTGATCATGGTTTTATTTTCTGTATTTTTTTTTACCAACTTCTCACACTTTGAAATAACCTTTAACTAGGAGAAGCACATATGCAGCTAAGTCAGAATTATCAGGTCATGGTAATACCAAGGTATACAAATAGCACTGAAAATGTCAGCATTTGAACAGATTTTCTGCTAAGAGGGCAAGAAGATAAAAGTGAACTGTATAATGGGTGGAGTGCAGCACAAGAAAGCCCTTGTTATCTCCATGTTACTATCTGAGTTCCCTAAATGTAAGAGAAGACATTTTATATGAGAAGTGAAAGCTGTTATAACATCGAAATAGTCACTAATGACCTCTTACAAAAATTAATCCTCTTCCATCCTTGCCCAAATACAAGTATCACTTCTCTTATCCACTACCTCATCAACATGAATGTCATCAATGACTTCCTGGGAGCAGAGAGGAACATAATGCCAGAGGGTGGAACAACGTGGACTTTCATAAAGTATACAAAAGTGATGCCCCCCCGAAAAAAACCCCAACAACATGAGATCATAAGCAGGGCTATAGAATCAAAACTCAGAGCAGTTAACAAGTGAAAATTGAAACACAATATTCACACGAGGTTGGGGACTTCAGAAGAGGTACTGACTACTTTCTGGTTCTAGACCTAGATGATAATATCTGCTTCTCTTTAGTCTTCCAAGAAGTACAACTGAAACCTCTGGACATTGTGTATAAAACCACATGCTGTGGTTTGGATAAGAGGTGCCCCCCCCAAAAAAAGCTCATGTATTGAAGGTTTGGTTCCTAGTTGGTGGAGCTACTAAGAGGCAATTATAAAGGCCTAACTTCATCAAAGGGTCAAGCCACTGACGTGGTCATAGCTGCACAGGCCGTTATGGGGTACAGCCTAGTTAGAAGAAGTGGGTCACTTGGAGCTCTGCTTCTGGCTGACAGGAGGTGAGCACCTGCAC